ATATCATCTGACAAAAGACAAATGGTGTCACACGATACAAGTTGAAAGAGAAGTTTGCATTCTGGTAAAGATAAAAAATAATTTAAGTTTGGAGGAAATAGCTTTGTAGATATGTCTCCTGAGAAGCTTTCTTCTTCAAACACCCTCAAATTCAAAATATGACGAGGTATAGCAAAAAAAGTCAAGAAATAGCACAAAAAGTTGGACCAATCTCTCATGCCACATGTGTGTTGTCACATGTACCCAGTTATATGTGCAGTTTGTGAGACTTTTAGCAAGTTTTTTTCCATTTCTTTATTTGGATCGTTCCAAAACCTCACAGTATAGTGTATATCAAACCTACGATACCACCCTTTCCAAATTGTTTCCAGAAAGTCTCTCTCACACTGTAATCAAGCAACGAGAATCCAACTTCACGTTTTTTTTTCTTCTGCCTGGAATACTGTGTTATAAATACAGAGTAGGAAATCCTATTGTTGATGGTATCCTTGACACTTACAGGTATGTTGTCTGCATTTGTCTGCTACGTGACAATAGGGTGCCGACTTGATGAATTATGAGTTAACGCCTGGCTGGCTACCAGACATTATGGTATCTGTGTCATCAGTTTCCATGTGCAGAGATCCAAAATTCTCTGACTCCAGACTTGGGGGAATAGATGATAAATGCAAATTCTTACATGAGATCGTTCAGTCATAGAATTAAAGGATAATCCTGGTGATTGACAACACCGTATTTATTGGGTAAATACCTCGAATAGTGTCAATATTTTTTGTGTATCTTTTTTTTTTTTGTTTTTTGTTACTGCTTTGATGTTTTGATGTAAACATTTATTCATTTATTTATATATTTTTGTTCCCATTTGCTATATGTTTTTGAATGCTTTTTTATAAGATTGTATGTTTGATGTAAACTTGCATTTTTAGTCTTTGAACTTTTTGAACTTTTTGACAAGTCTTGAATAAAACCTCATTTGAATTGAATTGAATTGAATTCCCCATGAGAGCCCATTCCTATGCCTCTTAAAGCCTATCTCCTCTAGTTTGGCCAGGAGGGATTAGACCTCCCTGCATGGTCACTGACAGGTGGTTATCTCATCAAATCAGCTCTCAATTAACATACGAGAAAGAGGATCATGGGGACCAATGGTCACTGATACAAACCTTTTTTTCTGAATAGAGGGAGCAAGTAGTACAGTGGGGCTTTAAAGGAACTCTCTGGCCTGAATTTGTGATGATTTTATTCCTACCATAGTGTAAACTCATACTTTAATTCCACTATGGACTAAAATAAGGGCATTACTGACCGCCCACTGGACATGAGTGGACTATGCTTATGGAATTTCAAACCTGAGGTTGAAATCAATCCTGTTTATAAATTCTGGCATTAGTGTAAAATCACTGCAAAACAAAACAATTCTTGCCAGTTACACTAGCTATAATAATACACTAGTACATTTTTCTAATATAAATATAGGAAAATAATGAAACACAATAACATTGGTCTTTTTGGAGCCCCCAACATGTATTGATCAACAGGTGAAGAAATAAGCAAAGAAAGATGCAAATTATACAAATCTTGCAGAGCCCCTAAATCTAAGTCCAGAGATGAACGCATCGATCCAGCCTCTACCGTATTCAAATAACAGCTAAATGACAGGTGCAATTATTGAAATGCTGTTTTGGGGTTGAAAGCTAGCTAGGCCATGCTAATTGTTCTTGAAAGCCCTGACCCAAATAGATACAATGCAAAGCTAGTTTACCGGCAAAAGTCCTTGTCGCTCGCAGTTTAAATGAACTAAGGTAGCTTGGTGAAATGTAATGGCATGAAAAGATGCATCCGGAACACAAAATGTGTAAGAATTAGTGATATTTGTAAATGAAAGTGCTTTTTGTGACATATCTGAATGAAAGAATTAGTTTGAGAAAATGAATTTGATCATTCCTCTTGACAGATGCGATAGCTCAGTCGGTAGAGCAGTGGTCTCGTAATCCGGTGACCCGGGTTCGAAGCCAAGGCGATTCGCGCTAGTGCCCTTTGGTAAGGCATTAATCCTCATTACCAGGTCCCTCGGAGAAGACCTAAAGACGTTGGCCGTCTGGTTGCGTACTTACAAGCATTTATGCTTTCTTAGCAGTCAGGTAAAATAACCACCACCATTCAAATTTAAAACATTTCCTTTTATAGTCCAAAATAAATGAAGGTTATTATGACACTTTATCTAGATTTTGCATAATTTGCTTCTTAAAATGTATTCCTGCAATAATTGCTCCGCAGTCCACCTCGCACACTAACCAATCTTCAAACCTCGATTATACACTGCACATAACCCTAACATTACACCTAACATAAAATCCAAGTGAAACCCTACCCCCAACCTTCCATCTTTCATGAAACTTGTTGTAGGAGCATATTGTCTGTAGCCAGCCAGAAGGACATTAACTCATAAACTGCAACACAGAGTTAAAGATAAAGGTGAGTTCTGGTAATGCAATTGCATTGTAAAAGAAAAGGTGTGGAATGGATCAGAAACAGTTGATCATGTAGCATGTAAATATATTGGTGTGCACTGCAAGGTTCTGGAGTCATCAAAATCATCATAAATTTGGCCGAGTCTTGGTAAAGTAACAAGCACTGTACACAGAAAGCTATATATGGGACAACACACATGGTGTCGGGGGCTAGTACTACCTTGATTTCCTTGTCTTTCTATGCTCATTACTCAGCCAGTATACATTTTCTTCCAAAATTGTTTGGCACATGTCATTTATTTGTAATCTTGAACATTCAGTGTAAGTTTCGTTTGATTCTGTGAGAATTAATATTTTTTTTTTTTACCAGAACTGGAGTTTATCTTTAAAGGTAAAGACCAGTTATGGTCATGCGATTGCATTGTGAAAGAAACGTTGTGGAATCGATCAGAAAAGGTTGATCATCTAGCATCTAGCATCTGCAAGGTTCTGGAATCATCAAAATGATAAGAAATTTGGCCCATTCTTCGTAAAGTTACAAGCACTATACACAGAAAGATGTATATGGGACTACCCTATATCTCTCACAGACCATGAGAGAAACAAATTTACCAAATATATGAATTAGTAGGCGGTTTCCCGGCAATTTTTTTATCATCATGTATTAGTCAAAAAATATTCTTTCACATGATTGGTAATGAGAGCTTCCATTTCATTTTTTGAAATTGGGGCGTTTCCAATACTGGTCTTTACCTTTAATGCCCTTTTGGCTCTGAATAGAGTAGGAGGAAAGGGGTGGGGGGGGGAGGGGTAAATGTGTACGGCTAACTGCTGCCTAGCGCTCTGGAATACCTTGCGTCATGACTCCTGAGATGAGAGATGACTTTTTAATAATGTCAAGCAAACATGTCACTCGAGTGTATAATGTTCTAGTTTACGTGATCCGTCGCACGTACATGTATAAAGGAAGCACATGACCTTTGGTGAAAGAGAAGGTTAGGTTTCACAGAGCCTTTTTTCACTGACAAACGACAAAAATCATTGACAAATGTGCTGATAACCAATCAGAAGCAAGGATTTCAGTAGCTTATAACAAAAACTAGCACTTGTCACTGATGACAAGTTTTGTGAAATCGGGCCTTGGTAAAGATGAAATCATTTGTGATCTTTCACATTTTTTAAAAGGCGTATATTGATTTTTGAATCGGTTCAACGGTACATGTATTGAATTTGCATTTATTTCCATCATCATCATACTATACAAAGATAAAAGACAGAATATCTTAGCAGATAACAACATCAAATGTACATAAGATAGACATTATAACATTACAAATATAAAGTAAATCTGGAAGTTTAAACCATAGTACATATACAGTATACCGCTACTAGTACTAGATAATCGAACTTTACCAAATGCCTCTAGACAATTTCTTTTTACTGTGTAATTGCATGACATGTAGGGGCCCTACTCAATTTTATCTTTATTAACCCTTGAAGCGCCAGAGGCAAACATCCATTTCAGCTGCCAACGGAAGAGCGAAATTAGAGCACATGTACTCCAAGCCCTTGTTTCTGATTGGTCGATACAAGATTTGGGAGTGATCGCAGGAAATCACGATCAATTCCAAGTTTGTTTTTCTCCAAAGAGGCTAACGCATCATCATCTGCCAGCCGGACGTTTAATCTCTCTTCTCAAAAACTAGTTTTTAGAAAGTTGACAAGTTGAAGACTATAAGTACAGAAAAACTCAGAATTAAAGGCAAAGTCTATCATGAAGCAGTCAAACCTGCATTAGTGACCACCTGTATAGAAAGACCACATTTTTTTTTATTTCCCTTGAAAATGGCTTCTCATTGAAACATGTACTAAAGGAACTCGTACATAAAGACCACCTGCCTATAGAGACCACTTTTCATACCTCCCTAGGGTGGTCTTTATAGACAGGTTAGACTGTATTTAGTAGATTTTCATAGAAGCAGAAGGAGTAGAGAAACAGATTAGTGAAAGTTTGAGCAAATTCTGATCCAATCAAAAGGTTATGAATTTTTGAAAGTGTATGAGAAACATTTTGTTATGATAATGGCCCATATCTTGGGTACCTTTATGATTGAAAATTTCCTTACTAGAGTAACAAAATTTAAATGTTTTTTTATGTAGAGAAGATTGGAGGGGGGTGGGGACTTAAAAGGTAAGTCACAGAGTTGGCAATTTGTGTCTGATGGATTGCAAATTCAAAAATTCTTAAAGACCGTCAACACTACTGGGCCAGAAGGGTTTAGACCACACAGCTAAGTCACTGACAGGTGGCTATCTCATCAACTCAGCTCTCAACTATTATAAGAAAAAGAGGATCATGGGGGACTAACAGGCACCGATTGGAGAAGTTTTCTATATAGAGGGAGCAGGTAGCTACAAGTAGGACAGTGAGGCTTCAACATCCTTATTTTTGAATCAGTGTAAACTGATACAAATTAATGCCCTTCTGACTCCGAAGGAATGAAACAGTAGAAGACGTTATCCACTTACTTCCTTTGATGTAGAGTACTGTTTTGATATGATGTCTCGGTCTGACATAGAGAATGGTCCCTCTCAGGCTGAGGAAAACGATCACCCCTTCGGTGATAATGGAGCAGCCCAGGAGGACCAGGTAGCCCAGGATACTGATGAAGAGATGCTTGGCGCAGGCTTGCGAGGAGTACGACTGCGAGACGATACACACCAGGATGATGGCCCTGTAAAGAGAGAGAGAGAGAGAGATGAAAGATAAATAATGGGGGTGTTTATCAAGTCGTATGTCTGACCATTGTGACAGGGTTTGTATTGCAATGAATCATCCAGTGCTCAGCAGCCATGCTTAGAAGACCCTCATATTACAGAGAGAGAGAGAGAGAGAGAGAGAGAGAGAGAGAAACGCTAAGAGATAGCAAGAAAGAGGGTAAGAGAGAGATAGAGAGAGATAGAGAGAGAGAGATAGAGAGAGAGAGAGAGAGAGAGAGAGAGATAGAGAGAGAGAGAGTGAGTGAGAGAGAGAGAGAGAGAGAGAGAGGGAGACGACAGATAAATAATGGGGTGTTTATTAAGTCGTATATCTGACCATTGTGACAGGTTTGCATTGCAATGAATCATCCAGTGCTCAGCCATGCTTGGAAGACCTGTCATGATCTGTTATTGAACAAGAAGGCAACATCAATGCTTTCATATCTAAGTTAGATATAGTGGCTTAAAAATAGCTTTTAAAATACCCAAAAGACTGATACCCTTTTCTAACTGCACTGATTTTCATCGAATACATCCGGATGCATCCGATGAAACGGCCAGTTAGAAAGCAACAGAGAAGAAAAAGGCGATTAAAACAGCGATTAATATGGTCAAAGGTCGCAGTATACGCGCGCTTTATCGTAACCAGCTGTGTTTGTTGACTTATGGATGAACATGCTGCATGCTAGCTAGATGGAGATAATAATAATTACGCAATAATTCTTCACTTCCGGCAAGGGCTCGCCACAGCGAGTGAATTTCACAGGCAGTTAGAAAGCGACAGGGGGAAAACTGCGGTTTCACCTTTGTTTACATAAGGAAAATTCAATCAGTATTTTCATCGGTGTGACTCCGATAGAAGCCAGTTAGAAAGCAATATGAGAGAGAGAGAGAGCGAGAGAGGAGAGGGATGGAGAGAGAGCCACACACACGCTCGTCACATTTCAATGCTTGAAAATACACATTTCCTACCAAACTAGAATAGAAAAAACATTTTATGTAGTTGCTAACATCTAATGTGAATTTCGATGCGTTTCTATAATTTTCATAATTGTGTAATTAACTATAATGACTTTATAATATACAGTGTATGGCATCATTGTCTGGTAGTCAGACAGGCAATTAGTTACTCATATTGTTCATTAAGGTGACATCCCTTTAACTCTTGTGTCAGGCAAAACATGAACAATAAGATTTCCTTCGCTGGCATTCAGGCAGAAGATCTAGCGTCTTCATGCACCTGTCATGATCTTGTATTGAATTAGAGGGCATGCAACTTTAAAGCCCCACTGCACTACTTATAGCTACTTGCGCCCTCTATATAGCAAACAATGCCGAAGCGGTGACCAGTGATCCCCAGGATCCCCTTTTTCTTATGTTAATTGAGTGCTGATTTGATGAGATAACCACCTGTCAGTGACCATGCAGAGAGGTCTAATCCCTCCTGGCCAAACTAGTGTAGATAAGCTTTAATATGTGAATGTGTCTGGCGAAACATTAACGATAAGATTTCCTTCGCTGGCGTTCAGGCAGAAGATGTAGCGTCTTCATGCACCTGTCATGATCTTGTATTGAATTAAGAGGGCATGCAACTAACTGAGTCACGACTTATGGATGGTGACGTTTAAAGGTTGGTCCCCAGACGTAAATAATCATTTCTGATTGATACACGTCTGTTTAAACCCCAATTACACACACACTCAAACATCAACGCTCTCATATTTAGATATTTACATGTAGATTAGATTTGTTATGATATATGAAATTGGATGAATAACACTTGCTCCTGCAACAATCCCTCCACTGTTAATTTCCCAAACTACCTGAACTCTTTACTTCATCCATGGACCCAGAACTAAGCATAACTAACCGTATTCCTAACTCTAAACCTAACCTCGAGCTCAATTAAATAGAAGTGTCTTCGTCTCTCATGGATACGTCGCTGTATCACATATGGGCCACGGTTTGAGTCCCGCTACAGCACTAATGTTCTTGGCAAGACATTTATCTACATTTGCCACCCTCCACCCAGGTGTAGTAAATGGGTACCCAATAGGAAGCAATTCCTTGAATGCTTGAGCGCCTCATCATGGTAGCTCGGCTAGAGCCGGGTTAACAACATGATTGCAGGGCCCTCAGGGAGAACAGTATTAATACTGATGAGGCTACCCTGGGTAAACAAGACATATTACTATTATTATCATTATTAATTGCAACCACAACCCTAAGATGTACTTTCAAAGAAATAAAGCCTGGAGCAATTGTCACAAGAGAAGGTGTCAGATGACCCGTAAAATCAGCTACGTAACACAGCCTCATAGTACCAGCCAAGAAATGGTTAGATTGTGTAAAGGCCCATTGTGCTAGTAGATGTCTAGGATCCCTCACAGAAGGGACCAGAACGTCACAAGATAGGAAGATCTGGCTTGAGGTCATGAAGCAGAAGCCATCACACATCCCCCAGATGGTGTGCAAGGCTTAGGTCAAGGTAGGTCAACACAGCCTCATAGTTGATATAGTGTCTGCTAAAGGCGAGAACGGCATGAGCTCATGTACTGTAGTTCATGTTTACATACGGTTGTCTGCATCATCACCTGCTGTCACAACACATCCCATCCCAGTTAAAGACAAGGATGAGTTCTGGGGGGTATTTCACAAAGACTAAGATCGACTTTAAGTTGGACTTAACTATGGCAGGCCGTTCATACCACTGTTTGCTCTCACCATTAACTGGCATAGGTCTCTCAAGAGACTTACAAATCATGGTCACAAATATACAGAATTTACTTTTTTTTTATAATTTATTATTGAAGGAAAAAATATCATAATAGTTGGAGCAAACAGTGGCATGAACGGCCTGCCATATTTAAGTCCAACTTAAAGTTGATCCTAGTCTTTGTGAAACACCCCCCCCCCCCTTCATGCGATTGCATTGTGCAAAAACGGTGTGGAATTGCTCAGAATAAGTTGATCATGTAGCATATAAGTACTGGTGTATACTGCAAGGTTTTAGAATCATCAAAACGATAAGAAACTTAGCCCAGTCTTGGTAAAGGTAACAAGCACTGTAGACAGAAAGATGTATATAGGACTACACAAACATATGGTATAAAAATCTGTCCTGATTGTTTTGATGTTACATGCCACATTTAAAATATTAAGGCATTTGAAGAGCCATGCTTTTGAGGAAACATTTTTTCTCTAATGTTCTTCCACTCTTGCATTTATAATAACAAATTGTTTTTCACCTCTCCCCAGGACTTTCTCTTTAAGCTTGAAAAAGCTGCTTCAGGGATTATCTCAATGTTCAATGTCCGTCAACTGCCCGCAAAAAGGCTGTTACTGCCTTTTTGTGGACAGACAAGGAGTTAATGCCTTCTGGTTCTCCGTAGAGAGGTGCTATGGTCTAGGTGAAAATTTACTATACTATGAAGTTCGTGGTACAGGGTTCAAATCCCTGCCACAACATTAATTGTATGGAAGTAGAGGCAGGATTAATGTGTTCATATCTGTCTTAGATGTGGAAGCTTAAAACCAGAGCTTTGCATATAAAGCCTGTAGATGTATCTACTGGACTCTCTCTCTCTCTCTCTCTCTCTCTCTCTCTCTTTCCCTGCTCTTTCTATCCTTCTCATCCTTATCTCTACCCCCTCTCTCTCTCCCTCTCTCTTTCTATCCTCCTTATCCCTATCGCGCTCTCTCTCTCTCTCTCTTTTTTCCTGCTCTTTCTATCCTCTTTATCCTTATCACTATCCCCTCCCTCCCTCGTCTATCTCACTCTCTCTCATTTTCTCTTCCTCTTCAACCTTCTCCCTATCTTTCTCTGTCTTGAACCTTCTAAACTATGAGAGGGATCAAAATAAAAGATAGTTATCACCATTGGAAAGTGAGTGTGTGCAAAATCATAATTCATTTAACGGAATGCAACTTTTAAATGTCCATGCTGCATTAATGAATCGACTTGCATAATGTCCCCCTTTTAAAGCAAGCATGGAAAATGAGAAAGAAGTTGCTAAACACAAGGGAACAGAATGATAATGGGAATAGCAAGAAATAGAGAGAGAAAGAGAGAAAGAAAGAAAGAGAGAGAGAGAGAGAAAAAAAGTGAGAAAGAGAGTGAGAAAGAGAGAGAGGAAGAGAGAGAGAGAGAGAGCGCAAGAAAGAGAGAGAGGAGACGAGAGGGGGAGAGAGAGAGAGAGCCCAAGAAAGACAGGGAGAGGAGAGGAGAGGAGAGGGGGAAGAGAGAGACACCCACACACATGTCACACAAACAAACAGAACACGCTACAGGCTTTCTCAAGTTGAAAACTGACTGGCTTTCATTAAAATTCAATCATAATTACGTTAGGTGTATTCATGCAGGCTCTAAATGGAAACAATTTTCCAATCAGCACATTTACAGCCTGCTTCAGTTGGCATTGACATTCGGGCAAAGATGCCACAGTCGTAAGAAAACAAACCACGACACAATGAAAACAAAAAGGCATGTTTCCATGGAATCGTCAAAGTTTTAATCATCCAGTTAGCCAAACCTTAAAGATTGAACCAGTTACCTGTTACATTGACAAGCATGCGGGTTCACAAGGCATTTAAACATTGACTGCTCGAAATGGTATAACTACTAGCGGGGCAAGCAGTCGTTGCTACAACAGACTGACAAAACCTCAAAGTTGTTGCATTCACGTGGCAAATAACTTTGAGTGAAAAACCTCCTTCTACTCGTAGTTTTCATGTTAGGCCTAACCATAAGATTGCTTACTATGATTTAAAACAGAGAGTAAACTTTGAATTTCCGAGACCCAGACTGTCTGCCCTGGTCTTGAACTTAAAGATAATCTTGAGGTTTAAAACCAGGAGCTAAACTTTAAGTTTACAGATTGTCGTGTGAACCCGGCTGAAGAATAAAAAGTCTACGACTGATAGGAAAAACAACCGCAGGAGGCGTTAGAAGGGGTGCAAGAACAACAGCCTGTGTAAACAGTAATGATTTCATCAAATTATACCCTATT